TTCCTCAATTTGAGCCACTATCCATTACTCCACTGGTGCCTCCGGGACACTATGCATCAATCTGAACACTGGAAACAGGTCACGACAACAGACAAGTGGAGAAGAGTCACTAATCAATTATATGCAAAAAGACTATTTGGTCATCCTATCATAGAGTAGTAGGTAACAAACTAGTCTTGCAGATTATTACTATTGTAGTAAGTTACTGTGAAAGTAGGTGCCTACCTTGTGCCAGACTGACATAAAGTTAAAAAATACTAACATAGTATCTACTAGTGGTTTATTAAAAGAAACTAAATTCAAGAAAATAGCATCTAGATTCAGAATGGCGTTTAATACCTTAAACAAAATCTGTTTGAACACCCACCCCACAAAACATTTTTCTCCGTATTTAGTAGGATTTTTAAAAACTCATTTCACCCCAAGCAAGGCAATAAAGCCACTAGGATGCAAGGGATCACTGAAATTGATAGAAATAGAGAGAACAATAAAAGGACAGGATACAAGGAGACAGATGACAAAAACTAAAGAACAGATGACAATTGACACTGCATTTAAACTTTTGTAGATTGTAATTAACAGGAAAGCAAGAAGCTGGAAGAGAGTTCCACAAGTGAGAAATGTGAAAGAAGAAACTATTAGCATAGAACTTATAGTGACAACTATCAATTTCACCAGTGACATTATGAGACCTACCTACCAATTTAGTACTATTTATGAAGTCACGGTACCAAAGAAGTGCTTTTTTTAAATTCAACCTACATGAGGTGGGGAAGGAATTTTTCTCTATATTTGGTGGCGTTGAACATTTTTTTTTATTCCATTGAAATCTAAGAGTTAATGAACAGAGAGCAATTGGCACATTTGAATGATACATTTAAAAAAAACTTTTTTACAAAACAAGAAAATCAGCCAGTGATTTTCTGGAACCAGAACAGGGATTGTTCACTGCAAATGTAGCAAAGCAAACAAACATCAACCTGAGATAGAACCTCCTTAATTTGCAACATTTTTTTTTCAAAATTGTCACCTTCAGACAATTACTCATAAATTTTTTTTTTTAATTTAATGTGTTTTGGATATACAATCTAGCTGATTTTTATTTAGTTTCTTTTGCTTTATTTATGTTTCCATCAGTTTTGTTATTAAATATCCCACATTGTGATAAGAGAAAATTAGCTAAGAACGGTGAAATGTAAAAACATGGATGCAAATTTACTGCGGACGATCGAGAAATTAATACATTTTCTAAACATTTTCATCCTGGTGAATTTTTTGTCTCTTTTAATTAGAATAGCATTTTTTTAAATCAAAATTGTGGTCAGTTTCATTATGAGGAGCAATGCATTTAATGTGTTGTTTTATAAAAGATCCCTTTTGTGTTCTTTATTCATTTAAATTCCTTGAGGTCCTGATATATAAAAAAAATTATATATCATTTTTACATAAAGTTGTTAAAAAAACATTTTTGTCAAAGTTATTAGATCCACAAATGATTCAGTGTTATATTGTTAATATATTATGTATGTTATACATATTAACATTAGAAAATAAAAGTTAGATGTAACTTTTATATAAATTAATATAAAACAATCCAAACATGAAAATTGGTAAGCTAATCATCATTAAATCAACCAGAGATGAATATCCATGACCAGTCTTTTCTGTACATTATGGTCTTCCATTACATTTCCTTTAATAAGCTGGCATGTTCAGTAAATTAGTCCTGGGTATGATGATAAACTACATCCAGCAGCAAGGCCACTGATTGGTAAATTGGAGGTTTTTAGAAGTGTGAAGCCACCTCTTAATTGCTGTTGTTTCCAGGTCCAACATAATCTGGGGAGGAAGCACCTATTAGGGTCCAAGCTACTGGCAAATAGTGAATGCCCAAACAAAAACAAAACACAATGAAAGTATAAAAATACATTTTTATAATAAAAATACCAGCAATACATATTTATTGTAAAATGACCGATTACATATTTAGAGTAAAATTACCAACAATACACACATACTAACAAATTGTAGTAACTTCACCCAAATCCAATTAAAATACTACCAAACAACCAACATGAAAGAACTCTTTCATGACAAATAATATCCTACAGATTCTTAAAGAAATCAAACTGTATTTCCAAAATTTAACTTCAACAAAACTGTAAGATAAAATCATATATCACTGTATCTAGTAATTGTGCCTACACAAACATGTATATGCACAAAAGCTGATTATCATCTACCATGTATTCAAATGTGAAAGAAGAATATCATATCATATTTGTATTACTTCAAAGCTCCCAAGAAAATTGAATTTTGGCATTAAATGACTCATGAGGAGTTGATATGCCATTAAACAGATAAATCAATCAATCAATCTTCAATAAATTGATCACAGTAGGGACATGCTGGTCTCCTAGAAGATGGCCTCCCTTGTGTAGGTTCCTAAATTAAAACTTTGTAAATAATTTCTTTCTGGCTTCTTCAGCAATGTTCACTGGTGAAAACACCAGTTCTCATTTGATCACTGAAGTTAAGCAACATCATGCCTGGTCAGTACCTAAGTGGGTGACTACTTAGGAACAACAGGCACTGTTAGCAACCTCCAACATCCAAAATATGTTTCAGATTTAAATAACCAACAAAGGGTTGATAAGCCATAAAAAAGAAATCAAATCAATGTTTACTGAATCTTACTCTCCTCTCTGTGAGTGTAGTAGTCATCATGAACTAAGATATAACAATTTAGAAATTCAACATATTTGGTATTTCCTATATGCCAGAGGTAAACAAATTTTGGTGATTAATCTTTTATTTTTGTTTATGATCTTCTTTTCATAATGGTCAGTTAAAAAGCTAACTACTTAATAGGATTTATAAAACCTATTTTCTTTTCTGTGATAAATCTATATATAGAATTCTGTGGCTTCTATTAGCCTGTCCGTCTGTCTATCATACCCTCTAAAATAGCCATACATTGACCGAAACCAAATTTTGGGGAGTACAAAGTACAGTTGGTTTTACTAGGGTGCATAGCTTGGTACAATAAATTTTCATTCATTTTTTTGGAAAAATTAAAAGTTTTATTATTTAACATACAAAATAGTCCCACTTTTTTTTTTTTTTTTTTTTTTTTTTTTTTTTTTTTTTTTTTTTTTTTTTTTTTTTTTTTTTTTTTTTTTTTTTTTTTTTTTTTTTAAAAAAACAATTTAATGATTAAAATAAAAAAAATAAAAATAAAATATTATTTTTTGCATATAGTTTCTTTAAGTTTTTATATACAAGAATTCAGTTTCCATTTCGCCTTGCGTTTGCAAGAACTATAAACAAATCACAAGGCTAAACATTTCAAAAAGTTGGAATTTGTCTCCAGAAAGTAATATTTATGCATGACCAAATATTTATGCATGTTCAAGAGAAAAAAAATCTTAAGAATTTATTCTTTGTTGTTAAAGAGGAAAATAAGAAATTTTCTTCAAAAATATTGTTTACCGTGAAGTTCTATAAAATTAAATTAAAGAAATTATTAAACCGTGAAGTAGGTTTTTTTGTCAAAGTATTTTTCCAAATAAATCAGCTTATTCAAATTTCATCAATTGGTTTGCAAAATTGAACAAAACGTATAGTTTGTAAATCTCAACAAAAGAAAATACGTTAGCAATAACTTTTACAATACAAAGTACTGTGAGGATTTTAACAGATGTTAGCATGCTACAGAAAAATTCTAGTTATGGAAAAAACTTTCCTAATTTCCAACATATCTCCACTGATTCATTAATTGTTTTACATAAGTATCAACAAGCAATAAAGAGCTAAGCTTCAAATGTCACTTCTCAGATTTCCCTAACATTGCTTCAAAAATGTTGTTGCAAACTTTTGTAAGAATCTGATATTCAAATTCGGGCATATAAAAATAAATTTTGTCAACATTATCAGATGTTAATGGAAAAAACAATAAATCACCAGAAATTTGTGTTTTTATTGCTATTTTACAGCAGAAATGGCTAGATGTGGAACAGTTGGTATGATGTTCGCTTGACAACCTAACTGTCAGGGTTTCAATTCTCGGTAGTGGATACGCACTGCTGATGTGTCCCAAATATAGGACGAAACGTCCGTCCAGTGCTTTCTGCATTCTGTTGAGATTTCTATCAGACTCGATAAATTACTTAAATATAATTATCAAATCCTCCTAATAATTTCTATCTGTGTATACCATGCTTGAACCGGCTTCTAATGCTCTAGAGTGAGCAGCTTGGTGAGAGTAGTCATGCTACAAAATAAAGAAGTTTTTTATTTCCTTTTCTTTTTTACAACACAAGAACTTGTGGAAAAAATCTGAAAACAAAAACTGAATCATTTGTGTTTTTTTTTTTAAACTCTCTGCAAGTTGTAATAAAGTATCAGTAGCCGTGTGATGTTAAAAGCACTATTACCAGGTTGAGAGTTGTAATTTGATACTGTTCATTCAGTGGTCAAAGGAGCCGGGCTGCTGTGAGACAAAGTTGTATTCATCTTGCTGAGCAAAACAGTTCTAAAACAGTTTGAAAATATTCTCGTTTCTATATTGTGCTGATAGGCTCACACATACGCATGTTAGCTCCACACATTTCTTACAAAGTGACCATGTATTTTTGTACACCCAATTGGTTAAAAAGTGTGGTAGAGTGTTTTATTTTTATTTTATTTTTTTTTTTATCTATTAAGATTTGCACCAAAGTTAATCTGATTTTTCTCAAATCTTCCTTGACAAGGAAAATTGCATTATTTCTTATATGTGTTGTTAAGGGGTCCACCCCTTTTTCATACAAGTGGACTCGACCAGTGTGTACTTGTACTGCTGCCGGTGAATGCCCAGGTGTTAGTAAGAGAGATACACTAGGAGTGTGAGTTAACCGCTTTGTAGGAGTCACAGTTGCAAGCACGTAGACTCAGAAGGAAGTCCTACTTTGATACTGAATTTCCCAGACTATATATATATTATTATTGCTACTAACCGC